GGAAAAGGAGGAGGCGGAGGAGGAGGAGGAGGATGAGGAGGAGAGGAGGGAGGACGAGGGGGAGGCGGAGGAGGAGGCGGAGGAGGAGGCGGAGGAGGATGAGGAGGAAGAGAAGGAGGAGGAGGAGGATGAGGAGGAGGGGGAGGATGAGGATGAGGAGGAGGAGGAGGAGGAGGAGGAGGAGGCGCCTATTTTACAACAAATCATGCAATGCAGTGAGACGGCCCCAGGCGCCGATATTTTGTTAAAGCCATGTGGGTGGGTCGTTGGGTGGGTCGCGGGCCTTTTCCACGTGTTGAAAACCAACCGCCCTCCATCGTCGCAGCAGCTGCAATTTGTTAAACGAACTCGCGCACGGCGCTAGGGAGCGAACAAATTTTGTTTGCGAGCAGGTCGCCCTCCATTCTAGAAGTCGTATGTGTTTGATGGAATGCACGCGGCGCTAATGCGAGAGCCACATTTTGAAAATCATCCGCCTTCCATCCTGGAAGTCGTTCAGAAGTTCCTGGGGGATGAGGAGGAGGAGGAGGAGGAGGAGGAGGAGGAGGAGGAGGAGAAGGGGGAGGCGGATGAAGAGGAGGAAGAGGAAGAGGAGCAGGAGAAAGAGGAAGAGAAGGAGGAGGAGGACGAGGAGGGAGGAGGAGGAGGCGGAGGAGGAGGATGACAAGGCGGATGCGGGGAGGAGGAGGAGGAGACGGAGGAGGAGGGGGAGGAGGCGGAGGAGGCGGAGGAGGAAGAGGAGGCGGAGGAGGAGGAGGCAGCGGAAGAGGAGAGAGGGAGGAGGAAGAGGCGAAGGAGCAGGCGGAGGCGGAGGAGGAGGGGGAGGAGGAGCGTGAAGAACAGAAGGACGCGGAGGAGAAGGAGGAGGCGGAGGAGGAGGAGGAGGAGGAGGAGGAGGAGGAGGAGGAGGCGGACCGTCGAAGAGGAGCAGCAGAGCCCTGGGCGGCGCCTGCAGGCCGGCTGCGTCGTGGCCGACCAGCTCCACGCGGCCTCCGTCGGGGGACGGCAGAGGCCAGAGCTCAGGCCTCAGGCTCGTCAGCCTCGTCCTGCCCCTCCTCCCCCATCCCCCTGCTGACAGCCTCGCGCTGGCAAACACTGCGAAACGCTCACGGACGGTCTGGGGCATGGTCCAGCCTCCGGGGCCCCCCAGTGGACCCCGGGACCGTCAAACAACGGCTGGGGATGAAAACTGGTCCCAGGGAAGGGTTCCAGATTCCGGGGGAGCCACGCTGCGACACAAATCGCGACGTCGGATGTCTGGGTCCCCCTCCCCCTCATAACTTCCCCCTCCCCCCCTCGTCCTCGTCCTCATGCTCCTCCACGCTCGCTCGCTCGCTCGCTCGCTCGCTCCGTAAAAGGCTTGGGCTCGTGGCCTACTGCACTCTAGCATGGGGTGCGAAGCAGCGGGGCTGCAAAAGAGCCCTCGCCCGCGGCCGTCGCGAACGCCGCGCCGTGCTGAAGCCAGGGGGAGGGAGCGGAGGGGAGCCACGGCGGGATGGCCACAAGCGCCCCGAGCTGCGGGCACAGCGTCGGAAGGGGGCCTCCTCCACCTCCCCCCCCTTCCCTTACGAGAACAGCAGGCTCACGTCGTGCCGACCCCGGCGTTGGTTCCCGGTTCTTGACACCGCGGGGATCGTTCCGGCTTGAACGATCGGCCGCTCCGTGAAGAACCCCGATCGTTCAACGACGGGCCGATTCTTGGCCACGGGCGGCGTGCAGCCTCAAACGCACGCGCTGGGGCCGCCGCCGGTCGGCACGACGCGAACCTGCCGTCACTCCTCCCTGTCCCACCCCCAAGCGTGTTGGTAGGGCGGCCCAGGCGCCTCGCCCGAGCCTTCCTGACTCGGGAATGAGGATCGAAGAACGACCGAGGTCCGGCACACGAGCCGGTCGACCTGCGCCCCGCGGCCCGGCTGGACAGCGCTCAGGGCAAGGCCCGCTGTCCCCGCAGCGGCCAGGCCTCCTGCTCAACTACCTGCGCGGCCGAAGCCGCGCGCAACGGCGCGCTATCAGGGCAGTCGGCCGGGACGGTCCCACCTCCTGCCGCGAATTGCTGTGTCAGCGCCCCTCAAACGGGGACTCCACTAACGGGTACTTTGGCCAGTGACCCAGCGAACCCAACCCTTCCCGATGCGGGCAACGCTGCATTGCCAGAAAGAGGCCCTAAAGTGGCAACTTTCGGCAAAATTGCAAAGTACCCGTTAATAAGTACCCGTTGCGGTGCCGTTGACTGTGACGAGACGGAACATAACCGGAGGCGCGCTGTCTGGCGCTTCCGCTGTGGGGCCCAGCAACGCCGCACACTCGTGTGGATGCTTACTGTTCGGTCGGGCGCTGAAGCTTGAAAATGCCTCCAAAACATATGCCAAAATAACAAAAACTACTATTTGTTGCTATGTTTGAGAATTCCTGGCTATATTTTTTGCTATGTTTGCTAGATGTTTTTGCTATCTTTGAACATTCCCCCTGTAGAGGGACGTGCCCGCCCCAAGCTTCCTGATGAGCTGCGGGGCGCGCTGCCCCAGCGAGGGCGCGCCACCGCGTCGTCTTCGAAGAAGGCCCGCACCGCACCTGCCCGGAAAACAGGCCGAGCTGTCCGGAGGCCCCCAGCCGTGGCCCACCCCCAGGCCTGCCAAGAGGGGTGACGACCCGGACGCGCACCAACAGCGCAGCGGCCCAGTTTAGGAGGCATCTACTGGGAGATGTTCGCCAGAAAGACTACGGAGGATTAAGCCCAGTGGGGGGCTGTTACGCCGGGGTGGGTCTCGGATTAAGCGGGGTTAAGCCGGATAAAACGGGATCACGCGGGATTAAGCTGGATCTTATAAGCCAGACTAAATCAAGTCTCGGACCAGGGCAAAATCAGAATTTGACCTCCTAGGCGCTGCATCCGAGCACGACGTGGGTCTACGCGGCTAGCGATGGGGCGTGTTCCCGCCAAGCCCACAACCACTTCAGCCGCGCCACCCACGGCATCTTCCACGGGCCGACGCACCAACTCAGAGGCCCGACCCGTCCCCGCGGCCTCTCCCCGACGGCGCAACACGCCGAGACGCTGGCGCTGCTCTTCCTGGTGGCCACTGCCGACAAAAATGCGTGCGTCATTTTCGACAGCAAGGCCGTTGCGGACGGGCCCCCGAAGCCCCTCGACCCAACACCACCGTTTCCGTATCGCTTGGCGCAGGACACCCGAGCATGCAGGTCGCGCGCGAAGCGCGCGGCCCACCTCCGAGGAGCGTGCCCAGAGTGCCTGCATGAATTCACACGCAGTCGCCCCATAAAGCCTCAGGCCGGAGCCCGAGAGCAGCGGCGGCTCACGTAGCCTGGAGCCGCCAAAACTGCATGGGGCTTTTTGGTAGCCAGCCAGAGAGCACGGGCGCCAGCGCCAGGCCCACTTGGCCGCCGGCCCAACGGAGCGATGGATTACCCACAGCAACGTCGGCACGTCAGTTCCCCCTCACCTCCGAACGTTAGGAGGCCCCCCGTAATGTAACTCCGTTTATCGGGGATGGACAGACCCCCCTGTAGTAAAACGTGGTTTAGTGAAAACGACCTGAGGCCCAAACCTGGCGGGCGCGAGCCTGGAAGATATCGGCCACGGCGCCCTCTCGAGAACCGAAAACGGACAATTCACTAATCGACGTGTCACTGTTTGGGGGGTTCTGTCCACCCCCGAGTTTAGAAGAACCCTTCCAGGGTGGATCCAGGGCCCGGGTCCTACACTGGGCAGGCTAGGCCGAGCGGCAAGAGAGCCTCTCCCTGAGCTGCGTCCAGCAAGGGTGACGATCGCGCTGCTACCCGCCAGTTTTCAAGATACTGCCCAGCCCTCTGTGGCACAGGTGGACGAAACTCCTCCGATGCGACAGGGCAACCACGCCGACACGTGGGACCGTGCGCACCAAGTCCTTTCAGCAAAACCAATCATGATCCGCGCGAAATGCGCAATTAGGCAACAGCCTCGGGCGAGATGGCGTGGTAGCTGGCCAGACCACCGCCGCCGCCCAAAACTTCCACCGGAAACGCCGGCACCAACGCCCACGACGCCGGTGACCTTGCACAGCATGCCAGCAGGACGTCCTGGAGGCGGCGAAGACCCTGCGCCGGCCTGCCGCCGTCTTGTGCAACGTGGCGCGGCCCTGCGCGGGCAGTCTGCGCGCCCAGGCCGGCGCGGACGACCCCGCCGCTGGGGCCTGCGGTGGAGCTCCCTATGGGGCCACGACCCTCGTGAGGGGACAGTGCCGACGTGGTGGACATGCGGCGAGCAGAGGCAGGGGGAGGAGGGGGAGGAGGGAGGAGGGGGAGGAGGGAGGAGGGGGAGGAGGGAGCCAGCGGCACAGCCGCGCCGCTCCCACACCGACGGGCGGGCTCCACGGAACACGAACCCAAACACGAAGACAATCACCGCGACCAGCGCGGCGCCCCGTCCCCAGCCGGCGCGCCCTCACCGCATGCCCCTCCCATGACCTGGACGTCGCCTTGGCCGACCAACGGCCCGACGTGGACGGCGAGGACCCGCTCAAACTCGGAGGCAGCCTGGATCAGAACGGCAACGACGGCGACGACACTGGTGATGCGACTCCCTAAACACTGGCCGGCCCCGTGGGAACCAAAGTGTCCCAGCGATGGCCCCAGCCTCCAGGGCCCCCCTGTGGGATCTACCCTCCCCCCCCTCCCCCCCCCCCTCCCCCTCCTCCTCCTCCCCTCCTCCTCCTCTCCTCCTCCTCCTCCTCTCCTCCTCTCCTCTCCTCCTCCTCCCCCCAGCTCCTCCTCCCCCCCCCCCTCCTCCTCCTCCTCCTCTCCTCCTCCTCTCCTCCTCCTGCTCCTCCTGCTCTCCTCCTTCTCCTCCTCCTCCTCCTCCTCCTCCTCCTCCTCCTCCTCCTCCTCTCCTCCTCCTCCCCCGACGCCCCCGTCGCCGCCTGGGGCAAGGACCCCCCGGCCCACGGCGACAGCGGCCCCCACGGCGACAACGGCCCCCCCAGCGCCGATCCGAGAAATCCGCGCGGACCTCCGAGTTTTTATGTTTATGTCACTGTTCGTTTCCCTATGGCTGCTCAGCACACGACCAGATCTTGACCGTCCCCAGACAGGGCGATCGCAGACTGCCTGCGAGCAGTGCCCCGCACGGGGCCAGGCACGCGAGGGCCGCCCGTGCCCCGACGATCGCACCTTGGAACACCTCGGCCGCTGCCCAGGGCCGAAGGCCCTGCACTCGCAGAATGATGGCGAGGGGGAGGAGGAGGAGGAGGAGGAGGAGGAGGAGGAGGAGGAGGAGGAGGAGGAGGAGGAGGAGGACGAGGACGAGGAGGAGGAGGACGACGAGGAGGAGGACGAGGAGGAGGAGGAGAAGGAGCAGGAGGAGGAGGAGGAGGAGGAGGAGGAGGAGAAGGAGGAGGAGGAGGGGGAGGGGGAGGAGGAGGAGATGGGAGGGACGGACGGAAGACGAGACTGAGGCGGCAGAAGGAAACGCCCGCGCCAACGGCGGCCCCGCCCCCGCGGGGCGAGAGCGGCGCACCGCCGGCATCGGCGCCGTCTGGCGCGGGGATGACCACCAGCCGCATGGCGCCCGGGGTGGCCAGCAGCATCGGGTCCTGGGCCAGGAGAGCCCAAGATCGAATCGATAAGTCGGATCGGCGATCGAAATGAGTCGGACCAGCGGAAATCGGCAGCCGAGTCGGGAAGAGCCGAATCGGCGGAAATTGGCAGGCAAGGATGCCTCCACAGAGGAATCGGCATCCAACTCGAAATCCGAAGTCGAATCGAGTCGGAATCGGAGGCCATCGGAATCGCATCGCATCGAATCGGAGGAATCGAAACGAGCCCTGCTGGGCTGCGCTTGGCGGCCGAGGGCGGGACGAGGGGCGTGCGGGCAGCTGCAGGCGGCAGACCCCCGCCCTCTCGCGCCCTCCCCCCCTGCTCCCCAGCTGCTGCTGCTGCTGCTGCTGCTGCTGCTGCTGCTGCTGCTGCTGCTGCTGCTGCTGCTGCTGCTGCTGCTGCTGCTGCTGCTGCTGCTGCTCGTCGTCCCCCCTCCCCCTGTCACGAGCGGCCACGCGTCGAGGAGTGCCCCCTGCTGCGAGACCGGAACCAGCTGCAGACAGCATGCATGCCGCATACCGCATAGGCCCCCTTTCCCGCCCGCTCATTTGGACGCCCCGACATTCGTAAGGCCCCCCGAAGGACGGGCCCGCCCCTGAGGGTACGATCGATCAACATCGCAGTGGGAAATCGGACCGTAATCGGAATAAGCACCTGATCGGGCTGCATCGGACCGCACCGCAGTCGGCATCAAAAGTGGGATCGGCCGCGCCAGGACGCACAAACACGCGTCGTGCGAGCACCACCAGGACGTCAGGGATCGTCGGAATACCAGAATCGAATCGGGCTGCGGCTGGCCCAGATCACAGGAAGAGGTAAAACAGGGCTATGATCGGGATAAATCGCTCCAGAGCGTTCCAGAGCGCTCTCAGAGCGTTCCGGAACGCTCTGGAGCGGCCGCGGCGCCCAATACATCCTCCAAACCCGCCGATTCTCAGAGATTTCGAGTTATCCCGATCCGATTTTGTCCCGATCTTCGCGTCGTTTTAAGAGAGCCAGTCGGGACGACGCTGCCTGGCCCAAATCAGCTCCGAGATCGGTCCCCGGACCCCTCCCAGGGCCCATCGACCTGCCCCGCGTGCCGAAGCGGGTCCGGTCGTGGCAACGAGGAGCCCCCGGGAGGCCCCGAGAGGGAACAAGATGAAGGGGCCCTGGGACACACAGATAACTAGACACAGACAACAGGATCCCCCATATTTCCCAACATTCTCTGGGTGTATGTCTTCCCGCCCACTTCCCTTGTCTTCCCATGCTCTCCTGGGGGTCGAGGATTCACTCTGTCTGTGTGTTTACCCCCCCCCCTGACAAGAGAAGCAGCCCCCGGGAGGGCCGCCGTGGCCTCGAGCAGCACTCCTCCGAGATGGAGAGCGCGTCGGGCCCGCACAGCCCCCGACACGGTAGCTTGCCGATCTGCGGCCCCGGGGTCAGGAGGCAGCTGCAGTCGGGCTGCGGAAAGGAGGACCGCCAAATATAAGGAACGAGGCCCCTCTGTGGCTTCAAAAAAAAAGCCTGGGTGCACGAGGAGGGCTAGAGGAACGACCACGGAAGGACGTCAGGAACATCGAGCCCCTTCCGAATCCAAACTGCTCCTGATTTCAGCGTCTTGGCTGTACTGAGAGGTCTTCGTCGGAAGGACCAAGGGGAATTGAGCCCCATTGGGGGCTGTGACGCTGCAGTGGGCCTCGGGTCGAGCGGGATCAAGCCGGATGCAGCGGGATTGGGCGGGACTAGGCCGGATTACGCGGGATCAAGCCGGGTCAAGCTGGCTTTCGGACCAGGGCAACATCAGAACTTGGTCTCCCAGGAGTTGCATCCGAACCAGAGGTGCCGGACGTCTTCCCAAGGGTAACTTTTCGTCCCAAACTGATTTGAGCGGCCATCAAAAACGGGTTTTACGCGAGATGACGCAGCGACCTTACGCCGCGGCTTACGCGGGCCGCTGGCGCGGCACGCTACATTGGAGACGAAGGCGCTTACGCGCGACCTTACGCGGGCAGCTTACGCGCCAATGTCGGCGAAAACGACCCCGCTGACTTGCGTCGCTCGTTTGTCACTTGCCATGACCAAGGGGCCCGAAGACCGCCTCCGAGGGCCGACATCTGGACAAAGCCGCCAGTTGCACACAGCTTGTGTGGCCAGAGATCGGCATGGGCCGACGGAGACTGACCTCACCACATGTCAGCGCAACGGTCGCTGTGCCTGGGAAGGGTGCGTGAGGCCCCGAGTACTTATCGGCAACGCTTGGTTATGTTGCATCCTCGGGGGACCTCGTCTGTCCCGTCGCGGCCCTACTCGAGTCGAATCCGCGTCGAATCCATGTCGGAATCTCGTCGGATCCGTGTCGAATCCATGTCGAATCCGCGTCGAACACACGCCGGATCCGCGTCGAGGCCGCATCGAGCCCGCGCAGGGCACAAGAAAAGACCCCAATTTGGGGGACAGGCGAATGCCCCCCGGAGATGCAACGCAACGTTACGTGGGGCCTGTCCCCCTCCAGGGGGATCTTGACGAAGAGATTAAGAATAGTCAACAGAAAAACACTCCAACATGGAAAAAAATGGAACATTAGTCCCCAGGCTATGTTTTAACTACTTTTGAATATCCTCCCTGCAGAGGGACAGGCCCGACTTGAACGCACAACGCCTGGGCGGCACGCGCGGGGGCAGCCGTGCGCAACCTGATGAGCCTGCTACCATAAGTTGGAGGGGGGAAGGAGGAAGAGGGCGGGGAGGAGGAGGGAGGAGGACGAGTAGGAGGAGGAGGGCGATGAGGAGGAGGAGGAGGAGGGCGATGAGGAGGAGGAGGAGGAGGAGGAGGAGGAGGAGGAGGAGGGCGAGGAGGAGGAGGAGGAGGACGAGAGGAGGAGGAGGAGGGGATCAGGAGGAGGGGAGGAGGAGGAGGAGGAGGAGGAGGAGGAGGAGGGGGGCGAGGAGGAGGAGGAGGAGGGCGATGAGGAGAGGAGGAGGAGGAGGAGGAGCAGGAGGAGGAGGAGGAGCAGGAGGAGGAGGGCGATGAGGAGGAGGAGGAGGAGCAGGAGGAGGAGGAGGACCCCCCCCCTCCAACTTATGGTGGTGGTGGTGGAGAACACGCCCATCACAGCCTGCGAGCACCGGGAACCGGCCTCCCACGGGCACCGGCAGAGCGCCCGCGGGCACCGGCAAGGTCCCCCTCGCGAGACGCACGGCCGCTACCGTTACCCTCGAATATGGAGCGAGAGGGGATCGAAGCGAATGAATATGTTCATGTTTTGGACCGTAGACAACCGTTCAATATGAAGCAAATGCTTTCTCTGAATCCTTTCCCATGATTCTTCCGTAGCGCAGGGATCGACCACTAGTATTGGGGGTGGGAATTTTGGCCCGGCCATAACGACCCGTACTTACGAGCTATAGCTCGTACGGATCGTTATGCCCGGAGGAAGCAACTACCGGAGCGGGCCTCGGATCAAGCGGGATTTAGCCGGATTGAGCGGGATTGAGCCAGATTCAGCCGGATTGAGCGAGATTGAGCCGGATTCAGCCGGATTTCGAGAAATCAGACCTTGGTCTCCCAGGAGTTGCATCCGAAGGTAGGGGGTAAAAAACAGTCCCATACCCAGACCCCCGACGTCGTGACTTTGCTCACGACGTCGACCCCCGAAGTGTTTGGGCCCCTTCCCCGGGACCTGTGTTCCATCCTCAATCGCTCTGTGGCAGTCCCGAGGCATGGTGAGGGCCCCCGGAGGCCGAAAACAGCGCAAGACCTCCCGTCGTGCTTTTTTGCGCATCGCGCGGGGGCCTGCGAGTCGGAGAGGCCAGCCGACCCAAACATCGGGCGCCTCGCCCGGTGTTCGGTCCTGGCACCAGGCCCCTGCCTCTCTCGGCCACCTTCTCCCTGGGGGGACCCGCTGCTCTCCTCCCGAGATCGCCTCCTGACGGTCTCGCGAGGCCCGGTCGGGGCCCCGCGAGAGGCTGCACGCCCGGGATCGCCCTAACAAAACTGCGTCTCGTGTTCGTTTTGTGCTCGTCCTCTCTCTCGCTTTGTAGTCGATCAGCCTTCGCTGCAAAACGGCAACAGACCTGAAACGGTCCACGAAGTCGTCAAAACACCGCTTAGGTCCGAGCCCTGCCGAACACGATGACCGGGAGCGGCCAAGAAAGGGGGTGTCCAAGAGGGAGGGGGGTGCAAATCATGACCGGCGGCATGTGCGCGGCCCAGCGGGGGGGCCAGGGATGTAATGAGACAAGAAGAGGCGCCACGAGATCTGGCGAAACATCCTGGCCCGCGCCATGAGATCCACCCCCCCTTGTCGTCACCCCCCTCTCTGCCGCCCCCGAGGTTAGGTCTAGCCCTGCCGAACACAAGGAGGAGCCTCCGCCTCCATCTCTCGAGACTAAAGGGAAATTAGGACACACAAATAAATACACACAAATAAAAATAGTCCCCATATTTTCCCATATTTTCTGGGTTGTTGTCTTCCCCCCCAATTCCCATATCTTCCCATATTTTCCTGGGAGTCGAAGATTGATTGTGTCTGTGTGCGTTTTTTCCTCTCCTGAGAGACGCCGGGCTCTCGGGGAGCTCTCGGGGATCGGAGGAGGAGGAGGAGGAGGAGGAGGAGGAGGAGGAGGAGGAGGAGGAGGAGGAGGAGAAGGAAGGGAGGGAGGGAGGGAGGGAGGGAGGGAGGGAGGAGGGGGAGGGGAGGGGAGGGGAGGGGAGGGGGAGGGGAGGCAGGGGGCGCGTCCAGCGTGCAGCTCACGGACGCCGCCGCGAGGCCGCGGGCGCCTGCGGCTGCGGGCGCGCTCGGCGTCCCTCTCCGCTGCGTCCTGGAGTCCCCGGGGGGACGGGCGCCCACCGGCCGCGGCGCAGCGGATGCGGACACGCGTCTGGCCTCTAGGGGCGAACGTTGTTGAAGGGGAACTGGAACACACAAATAAATACACACAAATAAACGAATCCCCCATATTTTCCCATATTTTCTGGGTTTTCGTCTTCCCCCCCACTTCCCATA